CTACACATGAGTACACTAAATTCTAGAGAAGTTAAGTGATGTAATCCAGGTCACCAAACAACAGCAGAGTAAGTCCTGAATTTTCTCCATTCATTTCCTTCTAGCTAATCTTAAGCTTCCTTTCTTCCTATCTAGGAAACTGGTTTTCCTTAGGCTTCCACCAGTTCACTGACTACTAGATATCTTGGCAGAAATCTAGGAAGTCTTGGTTTTCATTTTAGCCACAACCCTGGATTAGCTGTAGTGATTGTCATCACCTACAAATCTTAGAATTTTTTCCTTGCTTAGGACTCAAAAATTCACTCTGCTCTGCTAGACATTTCTGTCATATGGAATATGGTGGCTTCTACTTAGGAAGATAGTCATCACTTTACCAGTGAAGAATAGGTAGAGTTGATTAATGAAATGAGACCACCAGATTTGCCTGAAGGACTCATCCCCTGACCTATGAAATAGCCTATTTCTTAGAAAATTTCTCAAACCAAAACCTTAGAAGTTTGTACTCATCTCTGACTCATTGGACCCTGAGCCTATGGACAACAGGGACTAGACTTATTTGATATCACTTGAATGCATTTGATTATCAACTGAATGACACTCAGCAGATTTTAATAACTGAATAAGCCTGATTCAAGGAGAAGACACGAAATAGAACTCAGGGGCTTGGAATTTAGCTCAGTGGCATAAGCCTCTGCCTGGCAAGTGCAAGGTCATTAGCTCGATTCCTGGTACAAAAAATAAAAGTAGAACCAGGACTTTGATGACATGAAAACATGAATAGGATAAAGGATGGTTTAAAAAAAATCCAACGTGGGGAAGAAAATATTCACCAGGGTATGATCGTAATCTTTCAGTAGCTGAACAGTATCTGGGATAATGAACCAAGAAGAGGAAAGAACTCTACAGAAGGAAACTTCAGATGAACCTAACAGCTTTGGAAAGGGAAGTGAATGCCCATCACTGGTAAGGACCCTTTTGGTGGACGTATTGGTAAGAAAACAGTATCCACAAGGAAGAAAACTCGGCTTGTGACTTTTAAGTCTAAGGAAATTTGGTCATCTTGGAATGGAGGATTGATGGCACCTTTTTGAGAGTAGGCATTGGAGGTAAGGAGTAAATATTTGCACAAAGCTGAACTGGAGACAATGAAATGAGCTCAAGGGCAGGACACGTACATTTGTCCCTCTTAAGCCCCTCTTCATGTAATAACAATCCTGATTATTGGGTGCTTCTATTTGCCAAACCCTGCATTATAACTTCAGCCTGACTAATGATAATCCCAAAACAACAACAGTCAGGCAGCCCTGGTTCGCACAAGTTTAACTTGAAAAAAATAAAGGAAATTGATTTTTAAAAAGATGCTGGCAAGGTTTCTGTGAAACTGGCATACTTGTGCATGGAACACAAATTGAAACAATCCTTTTGGAGAGCCATTTGGCAATACTTTTCAAAAGCCATAAAATTCATCTAGTAATCCCATTCTTTAGGATTTACCCTAAGGAAAATAACTCTTTTTTAAAAAAAACTCTGTATGTTCAAAGCTCTTTAAAAGAGCAACACCTGGAAAGAAGCCAAATTCCCAACAATTTGGGGATGGTTAAATATTTTATGACATATAAACTCCATGGAAAATTATGTAGCCTTTAAAATGATAAATGGGAAGACTTTGTGTCAACATGAAAGGCGAATAACAAATAATGCTCCAGGATAAGAGTAGAATGCAATGCTACATATCTGCTCTGATTAGAAGTCAGTAAAAATAGTTGTGTCTAGAAATTGAAACAGAAAACAAAGAAACAAAAAAAATATTATTCTATGAAAACTAGTGGATAATTTAAAAAACTAAAAACAGAGAAGAGTTCTTATCCTAGCTCTATAAAATAGAGACCCATAGCATTTAAGTTAGAAGGCATCTTCTAGATCCCTGCATCCCTCTTATTTTAGAGCTCTGCAAACTGAAGCCTCTAGAAAAGTATTGTATCTGTCCCACCAATGGGCAGTGGCAGAGGTGAGACCAGAACACAGAAGCATAAAGTGGAGCATGTCTGGAAGTTTCCATGCCACAGACTGATAATGTGTGGAAACATAGAGGAGAAGGCAAGAGGGTAAACAGGGTACCGCATGAATATTTTTGGATGTGGAGAGCAAATCTGATCAGTGAGGAGCATAAACTCATCCTCCCTTCACAGTAGATCAGCTGCCAGCCACCCATAAGCGCACAGTAAGTCTGGAAAGAAAGCATCTGTTTTCTGCCTTTAAAGGTCATCTTCTCCCTGTGCTCATTACAGCTTCTCCAGGTCAAACCCTCGGCCATCACTTGTTGTAGGAACTTGCTATGTCGCATACACTGTGCTCAGCCTCCAAATACGATGATTAGTAAGACACAGATCCCTTCCTCTAAAGGCGCTCTAGCTTTATCACTGGAGACAGACAATGAGCATGCAAACAAAATGATTTAATATGCAAATGAGAGCTGTCTGAAAGCAAACAAACAAAGCCTAACAGGGTTTTGGGATGAAGACTGCCTGAGTACAGGGTAGGGAGCATGGAGAAAAGACAATTGTAAGCAAAAAGGTGATAGGATCTGATTTGTACATGAAAGCTCACTCTGACTGCCTTTATTTCTAGGACAATCGCAACAGCATCTCCTCTTCCCACTCCAGCAGTCTCTGGCTCCTGTCACTGTGGGCAAAGAGGTTTTAACACTAGCTAGGTGTAATGTGCCACTGTCTCCTCTGAAAACATGCAAAAGCTCCTTGCCAGCACCAAGCCCAAGCACACACTGCCAGCACAGTGGTGGAGATGCCACAGTTGGCTTCCATATCACCTCCACCCATCGGAGTCCGCGTTCTCCACCTCATACGGCAGCCGTCTTGTCTTCAGCAGTACCGCCCGGCTGCTCGCTGCTGTCCCAGAGTGCTTCACACTTTCCCAAGCCTGCACAGTCACCCTTCTCTGTGATCTCTGTCCTCTCTCTTTCTTTCTAGAGCTCTCTCCTTTACTTTGATGTTTTAAGTCTTCCCTCACGCTTCCAGGCAGAGCGGATTAGTCACCGCCTTCTAGGTGCTCATAACATGCTTTGTTCATACTTGCACGATAACACATCATACTGAATCATAAGTATTTGTGTGTGTAGATGTGTGTGCATATATAATAAACTCTTGGAGAGCAGAGGTCATGTCTTATTCATTTTTTATTTAGAGCCAAGCACAGACTGGCTGTTTCATATTACCGAATATTCCATAAGTGAGTCAGTGGCTAGATCACTGATGGGGGGATGGGTAGGTAGATGAATTTATTACTAAATGAGTGAAATACAGTTTATCCCTCATTGCAAAAGACAAGGGAACTACACATGGACTGGTGACTTGTCTTTGAAAAGAAGAATCAGATAAGGTGATTTTTAAGGGTATTTTTGGCTTTGATGTCCCAGCACCTAAGGATCCATAAATCACAATAGGTTATTGCCATTGGATTCAGAAAGCCTTCTTGGCTTGGCTTCCTGAGGTAATGCAAAGGAATCCTGGGCTCATGATCAAAAGGGGGTATAGAACCCTCAACTTACAGGCCTGCTGCCCTGGGATAAATAAAACTTGAGTATGGGTTGGGTGTCCTCCTGTTCCACTTGGCAACATTCATAACACCCCAACATACCTGCTAAGAGAAAAAGTCTCCAGCAAAACAGGTTTGGAGCTGGCTCAGCCACAGCACGGCTATACATTCCTGTAACTTTCCAGTGCTGTGAGAGGGAGGCACACAGGGTCCGCTATGTACCCCGACTCCAGCACCATCTTTTCTTACCCCATTCTCCTGTGGGCGTGGTACTCAGGACAGACTTGTGAGGATTCAGGCCAGAGGTCAGGACAGGAATAATCCCTACCTCAGCTTTCAGGGAAGGAAGAAAGAGCAAAGACACAGCCTTTCCTGTCTACCAGGCTAGCAGAGGTCACCTGAAATTTTAGTTCAAGCCAGAAGGCCTGTTTTGAGACCAGTTACAACCATGCTAAGCCTGGTACTTGGTGCTAGGAAGCATACAGGGAGGAATACAATGGTTCCTATCCTCAGAGAGTCGAACTCCAGGGAAGAAGGTCAGCAAGATGCCTAAAATAATATTGACAAGTAATTCAAGACATAGGGAGAAAAGCCCTTGGATATGAAGGTTGGAAGGTCCTGATAAGGACGTAAGGAATATTTCATAAAGAAAATGTAACCAACCAATAGACACAGGATCAACCATGTCAGCTACAACAATGCTGGAGGAAGTGTACAGAGAGGTGAAAGCACAGGGCAGTGAGATGGGAAGGAGTGTGTTGGTTCACAGCAGAGAGAAGCCAAGAGGAAAAAGGAGATTTTCTTCTTCTGTGTTGGAAGATGGCACAAAACAGGAATCAGTCCCAATGAGAAACTTGCCTTATTATTTAATTTTTTTAAAAAAAGAATTCCATGCCAGTTTTTGCCAGGCTCTGCTCCTCCCTCTTTAGGGCCAATCTCCATAGTTCGGAGTACACCAGTAGACAGTGGAGGCCCAGAGTGTCTCGTAAAGAGATGAGGTGGAAAGTAAGGAGAGCCTTGCTTCCTAACCGCTTCCCTTTCTGACCTGATTAACCACTGGTGGAATAGCTGGGCAGTAACTCAAGCCTCATGGAGGGTCGGACACATAACCTCAATGATCCCTTCCTAGGAGATTCTGTGACCAAGTGTTTATTTATAATAAACACACGGCATTTGCAGAAAGCAGAAAAACATGTACATACACACACAAACAAAAACACACAGAGATATTTCTGAAAAGAAGTTTCCTGGAGCTAAAGAAATATCCAAGTCCAGATAGCAAATGCACTGTTCTGGTAACAGTTATAGAAGGGCTGGGTGCCTCAGACCCTGGGATTTCATGCAAGATTTCTATCTCTATTCTGGACAGTGGTGGAGATCCCTGCCCTTTGGTCTCTCATGTGCAAACAGCAGATTTCCAGTCCCAGGATCAAAGACAGGAGGGAAAGCTCAAAGAGTATAAAAGGAAAGGGGACCTGTCAGAATTTGAAACTGAGAACAAGAAAATACTTCTAAACCAACAGAGAAGCTCCTGCCTTTCAAAAATGTAATCAGCATTACAATCATTAGTTTCCTTCTTCCCCTTCCTTCAGAGGGAGGAGTTTACAGTAAATGAATTTGGAAGTTCAGTGAATACTGAGTTACCTTCAAAAATAACTCAAGAGGCAGAGATAGGAAGGATTCAAGCTTCAGAATATAGGTGAAGCCAAAGAAGAAGCTGGAAATCTAAACCTGTCTGGGTGACTTTTTGAAAATTTTCTCTTGCTGATGTGGGGAGTTTCATGGCTCTTTGCTACTTTGGAAAGATTTTCATGCTGAATGAATCCTGGGGACTGTGTGAGTCCTTTACCCTGTGAACTTCTCAGGGCCCGAGACAGGGCTTGCATACAGCAGAAGACTTTGATGACCTTCAATCAGGATTGATATGGTAAGTTCTTAGAGTCCCTGAGCAAAGGGCCAATTTCTCCTCCATGTCTGTTGGGCACAAACTTATGCATGTGGTAGGAATCATTCCGCAAACCAGAGACTGGTATGTACCCCCAGAAAATGCGGGTTTACTGTCATCTCGAGCTCCAACAGCCACTAGAGGAGACGCTTTTCTTCTCTGGGCCAGGGTTTTGTGAGAAATGATAAAATTAGGCACATTACTTCTGTGATCCCTGCCAGAGCTAATGCTCTGTAAATTGAATTTGTTCGAGCACCAGAATGGGTAGTTAAATACAACCGATTTTTTTTTCTTTTTTTCTTTGATGTTCTTGAGGGGAAAAAATTACTGGTACCACAGCAGCTTACTCTATAGAAGGCACCGTGCTCATAGAGCTATGTTTATTATTTAGCTTGTCAACAAACTGATGGCAAGGGTAAATGATACAACTTCCTAGCAACAGTGACTGCAATGACCTGGTTGAGGGTTAGCTACAGATTCAGCCATGTTCTCCCCACCTTCTGCATTTCTACCCTGAAAATGAAAAGTACAAAACTCTCAATGATCTTAATACGATTAGGTGCTAACAGATCCTGAAGTACCTTATGAATCACCAAAGAAAGCTTCAGTCATAGTCAGTATCAATTTAGTGTTTAGCAAAGTGTGTTGTAACTTACTGATTTGGAAACCAAGAATCAGTCAATGATATGGATGGTAACCAGATGAACCAGAATTTTCCATTCCTTAGAACAGTCCATTCCCTAGCAGTTTTGTGTAAACAAGAATTTACTTCAGCATTAGAATAATAATAGCCTACAAGGACTAGGTTCTGGGAGACTCAGCTCACCAACTGTCCAGCAATGTGTCAGCTGTGGAGATTGCTCTCCACTCCAGCTGGGCATTACAGGTACCCAATCAGACTCCATTTCAGAAATCATGGGTGGTGTTTCCATGGAGCTCTGCCCGAAAAGAGGTGATCTAAATCTTGCATGAGCAATGTACATCAACAGGGAGCTCTGCCTAGAACACTGTGACCTAAAAAATCATATTAAAGAACTCAGGATGCACAATCAGTTTCAGAGACACCCAGTGACCTTGTACGAGGCGCCTAGCATATTGGCTGGCCTGCTTGAAACCCCCCAAAAAAAGGTGCCTGCCTTGGTTACCTACCAAGACCACAGTCCAGCCCAGCCAGGAACACACACTGATTTTCACTGCCCTGTTTTTTTTTTTTTTTTTTTTTTTTTTTTAAGGAATCTGCTCTTTCTATTAATCACTTTGCTGTTTGTTGAGTTCTGGAAAGCAAGCACTGATTCACAGAAGGAAATATCACCAAGTCGCTAGACTGGAATAGTAGCTTTATTGAATCTCCATCTTAGATCCTATTTCTGTATCCTTTAAACAAAGAAGCACATGATATATCTGCTGAGAAGATAAAGGTAGGAAAGATTTGATTGGACCTTGATCCTTAATCATTCCTGCCTTGTTAGATGAAGAAAGCTACAAAATAATACATTTCCCCCTTTCTTCTAGACTGCTGGAAAGCTCAAAAAGGTCACATTAAAATCATCCTTATCCTGGGTTTTCCTTCTGTCTTCTTCTTCCATGTCAGGGTCTTAATAAATTTTTATCAGTATTTTAATGATTCTGTTATAACTATGTCTAATATTAACTTACTTTAAATCTTTTTTTGGAAGTAACATGCCAATAAATTTAAAATGTGGTTTAGTATGTTTTATGAAAGCTCTCCAGATTAGGAAATTGGGTAGATTAATGACTTTTTCATGCTGAAACGTAGAACTCCACTTCTAACGCAAGTGAATGATTAACACTTAAGAGTTTATATGTGAGACGGTAGAGCATTTGACATGTGTTGGGCCTTGGTTCAATCTCTAGCACTGCAGAAAGAAAAACAGAAGTTAGGTGTGATTTAAGTCATGATAAAGCTTTGCATAGCCCTTACCATTATACCACATAGGTGATCTCATGTTTTGTGTTCACATTTTACAGGTGTGGCTTGCCAGAGGTCACAGAGCTACTAAACTCAGATATGCCAGCCCCAAACCAGGTGTTTGCTGGCTCGCTCTCCCCTTTGCACATCACCACCTTGTCTCTCATTGCTTTTTGATTTAAATCAGAATCTTCTCATCATCCATAGGCCAACTTCTTTTCCTTTTTTTCCCGCTCAAACTTTCTTTCAAATTTCTTTCACGCACTGAGGCTGTTTGGGGGTGATTTCCCTTGCTGAGATTGATGGTCTGCAGAAGACCTGGATACCTCTTACCTGAGCTCTAAAGGCTCAGAGTTGACATGGTCACTTCCAGATCTGAACTTCCTGGCTTCGTGGGTTTCATGCTTCAGTTTATTGGATATACTTTAGTCTCCAACTTGCTTTTTCCTTCCTTCGACTGACCCAGTCTTACAGGGGCAACAGGCTGTTGGGAGAGTGAAGGAGAAAAATGACCTATTGCTTCCAAAGGCTTGTTGGCGAGGAAACATCTCTTTTCCACCTCGGGGTCATACTCCATCAAATGGGGCAGATGACCAATTTCCTTTTATGTGACTCTGAAAAAGAAAGTTTTGGGAAGTATTTTTTGCCATTTTAGGACGCTCATGTCTTGCCAACTGCAAGTTGAAATGCTTTAGAGATTCCTAGTCTGGAAAGTCCATTGTCCATAGAACCTTCTAGAAAGCCAAACATCCTAAAAAAGAGGTGCATCAGTGGTGTCTGTCTGACCCTCCTTCTCCAGGGTAGGCCAGACCCCATTCTGGTTTCCCATTAGGCCCAGAACCTGCACACAGTATGGGGGCTGGTGAGGCTAAACTCAAAGGGTCAGAAATGAGTCACTTTCCACGCTCAGCGTCAGGCGTGTGGCTTCCTGAAGCACAGACAAGGAAGTGCTGAATTTCAAAGAGCAAGTTTTTTTTCTTTGCATACCATTTCCGGAACTGAAACCACCAATTCATTTCACTTAAGGTCTCACACTACACTCAGATCATCAATAACATTCCAGAGATAAGATACCAAGGCTTTAACAACCCACCCATTCCATCTGCTCTCTCTCTCTCTCTCTCTCTCTCTCATTCTTTTCTCCTCCAGTGATTATACTGGAGTTTTCTTTTTCAAATTCTTTCTTTTTTGGTTCTGATAACAAAATTTGGAAGCCTTTGGTTTTTTTCCTTATTTATTTCATCAATATTTATGAATACGAGGAGTTAAACATCTAAATATCTGCTGAGTGCATGACTAAACTTGTAACTTTCTCCTTTTCTTAGCTGTGTGCGAGTGTAGAACCAGAAATTCAGCGTCCCGATCCAGGGAGCACATGGGTCTGCTGAGAGCATCCACACTGAGGTAACCCAACACCTCACTAGCTTGTGAAAGTGGTTAAGAGATAGGGTCTGTGGACAGATTCATGCAAAGTACCCTCATGGACAGAGAAGCAACGGAACGTACACACGTCCTCCTGGTGCCGTCTGTAGCATCAACACACTAGGAGGAAGAATCCCTACCACTTATATAGCACAGTAAAATTTATAAACCACTTTCACATCCTTTCTCTCTCTTGCTTCTTACCAGAACTTGTGAGATCAATCACACAAGCATTATCTTCCCCATTTTAGAGATGAGGAGACCCAATGCTAATAAAAGTAGAAAGATGGTGACAGTGAAAAAACCAGAGATCTCAACAGACCCCAGTTCTGTTGAGTCCAAGTACAGGGTTTTTGTAACTACCATCTAACTTTATATATAATGTAACATTACATCAAAATCTGTGACCTGATGTTATAAAGTCAATTGTTGACAGATTCTTACAGATCAGAATTAATGGCTGTTGGTTATTACCTTGGCATAACCCTTCCAGGCCTCTGCTCTCTTTATTAAAAAAAAAAAAAAATGGAGGAATGGCATTAAATTCAGTGCTGTTTTCTGTTCTAAAGTCTGAGCATCTGTATGTGTGTCAATGATTACTGAATCCATGGGATTTACCCCAAAATTTTTACCCAAAGTGCTCACCTTGGATCATTACTTTGCAAGATGGAAATTATGGTCAGTAAAAATGATCACCCTGCTATTATAGTCACATAATTTTGCAAAAAGCATGTTTATTCCAAACAAAACAGGCTGCTTTGCTTCAGCCCGTCTCAGAGCCATCATATAGAACTTTTCTAAAGGAGCTTATGGAGTGCATCCTCTTCCACCTTTGCCCTGGACTTTGAATCTCCTGGGATAAGCATTCCATGGCACCCATTTTCATTCACAGTGAAGAGCTCCCTAATGATCCCATTGGTCTTTCAAAGCAGCAATTCAAATTCCAAGACACATTCTTACAATCACATCAGCAGCACAAATCCCTACTCCTGACCCCTTGCCAGTGCTGCTGTATGTGGCACATCAGGCCTTGAGTTCCCCCAAGGCCAGTGCCACACTGAACAATTCCATCTGCATAATCTGGATCACATCCCCACAGCTACGGAAGCTTTCGTGCTTAAAGAATACTCACCATCCATCAGAAAGCAAGGACTTCCACAATAATGACTAAATACAAGATCAGAGGCAGTGCCTTTTATTGCATTGAAAATCTACTTCCCCTTTATTTCCATGAGTGTAGAGTCCCAGTATTTTCCCAGTACAGGCAGGTGGGCTTGTGAGGCCTCCCAAGGACTTTGTATTCCGTCTATTTTCATCCTGTCTCCTGTGACTCTTGTAACACCCTTCTTTTTTATAAAAAGGAATTTGAGATTTGGGAGATGTGGCAGGCCCAAGGAGACATTTTCCCAGTCCACAGAACCTTTTGGTGTGGATCTTTCCTTTACATCCCTTCCCTAGTCTCTGTGGAAGGCTTTTGCAATGGGGTACTCACGAGGCCAAGGCAGTCTGGACCCATGTTTTATTAGCTTAGATTATTTGAAAAATTTTACCATACTCTGCCTTATTGGAATTTCCTCATGGATCCAAACAAATTTGTTCCTGATTCCACAAGCATGAAATGCATCTTCTTCAATCCTACAAATGACTATACTTGTTTTAAATTTATATCTTGAAAGGCCCCTGAGCCACATTACCTCCATTCTTGAGTCTAATGTACCTTCTTACTGAATTCAGCCACATTTTCCAGTGTTAGCCAATCTAGAGTGTAGTGCTTGATCAGGGATACTCTGCTTAAAGTTAACTTCCTGTCCTGGTTAGGTCACCAAATGCCACTGGAAAAACTTGGTGTTTTTCCACGTGACTTCAGCCACAACTTTTGTTTGGTTGTAGATTCCTAGCTGTATGATAGACTGAGACAAGTTATCTTTAGTTCTAGAATAACAAGAAACTTCCTAGTATTGAATTATGCAAAGGAAATTTCATCATAAGGGAAGGCATCTAGGCAAACTGACATTTAAAATGGCTTTGGGAATTTTGTAATTCTGTTTTATTTGCTAGAAGAAAATGATTCTCATTTTCCCTTGACTTGAGTAGATGTTCTACCATCTTTATCGAGCACCTAGTGTTTTAAGATTTTACAAGAATATTTCACTTTGATTCTTACTTATCCCCGTAACAGTCCTGGCAGGTCAGATACTATTGTGTCATGTCACTGTACTTTGATTGTTTTATGAGCACACTGATGTCAAGGCCATAACATGGGTTAGAGTTTTAATTTTTGTCCTAGTATTGTAATCCTGGACTCTGTATGAATTAAATATTCTGGGTTCTAACCCTTATGGGACCTTTGTTAAACAAATCTCTTTCTTTCTTTGGCCTTCAGTGGTTCCAGCTGTGTAATAAAATAGGTAAATGGGGGTGAACTAGATAATCCCTGAAAATCCCAATCTTGGCCAACTCCTGATAATTCCTGTCCTTATTCACCAATGAACAAAGAGGCCAAAACACAAGGAAATCCAGGGAGGAAAATCCTTCCTTACTACTTGCCACACTTCCTTGGACAACATGCCCCAAATCATTCATTACAACAGAACACAGTGACAATTATTTTTTAATGTAGAAACTGTGCTTGGTTTAAGAAAAGAAATTTTTGAGAGAAAGTTTAAGTCTTGAAACTGCTAATGCCTTCCTGTCATGGTATGTGGGACACCATGGGGGTGGGGAACAATAAGCCAGACAGTTCATCTTAGGGGTAACCTCTTTGGTTTATGTAAAATATCTGACTCAAAGCAAATTCACTCTTGTAGGCTGCCATGCCTGAAAGAAGACGCAGCCTTGCTTAAAAGAGATTGAATCTTTCATACCCTTAATCAGCTACATCTCTGTGTTCTGTGTTGTGATGTCTAATTTCCAGAGGAACGATCATTCTCAAACCACATAAATGATGATGCTTTTGGAAAAAAAAAAGCAATAAAAATGAAAATCCCATCTCTTTTAAAAGTAAAGATTTCGAAATGAACTTGCTTATTGTTTGTATTTTACACCCACATTCTTGATGCCTATTATCTCTGAAATCATTTCAGTTTCCAAAAATCATTTGAAACACTCCCACACCTGGGGCTTTTGATAAACAGTCCAGGTTCTACAGACAGAAATGAATGTGTGTGTGTGTGTGTGTGTGTGTGTGTGTGTGTGTGTGTGTGTGTGACTGTGTGTGAGAGACATAGAAAGATACATTGTGGGGAGTGAGGGAAAGAATGAAAAGCACATTTGTGGTCTCTACAGTATAAGCCCCAGCAAAGAATACAAAGGAATTCCACAAGCATGACTCCTCTTCCATGGTTTTCTCTTTTGAGATTACATGAAACTTTTTGGTAATTTCACGCAGATGCTAAGAATAAAAATAATGATTGATGTTTTTGAGCCTTAACAATGTCCCAGGTACTTTTCTAAGAGCTTTTTATACATACGAATCCATGTATTACTCACAAAAAAGTCTATGAGGTTGACACTACCATCCCATTTTACAGATGAAAAACTGAATCATAGAGAAGTAAGTTTCCTAATCTCTTGATCATTAATTCTCAGTCAAAATTCTGCCTGACCATCACCACGATTTAAGAAGTCAGTCCTTCCATGAAGCATTTTCAGTGGAAAGGAATCTCACTTTCTTCTGAACAGCCCAGAGTTTTATGGCACTGAAGCCTGTGCCGTAAGCTACACAAATCTATGCACATTTCAAATCATCTCTGCAAAGAACTCTAAGCTCCTTATGATCGAGGAGGGATTAAATTTATCCCTGTTTTCCCACAAGATGGCAAAGCGCCTGGCACTGTGTGGATATCTGGGAAATATTGGTTGAGGAAATGAATGAAGAAACTCAAGATCCATCCAGGTCCAAAGTATCTGCTAGCTGAATCTTGAGCCAGCTATTTATGAATTTTAAAACAAAATGTCTCACTTGCTTTTAGCCCTGTGGGCTTTCTCCATGAATTCATCTTTACTTCTTGGGGTTGCAGTAGCTAGCTTGTCCAGCTGGTCTGGAAATGCATTTCACAAGGAATGTCACAAAGGAAAGAGAAAAAGCTGAAGTCATAACAAATCTTGAAACTTGCTGCACTGCTGATTCTAAAGTTAACTTCATGCGGATTAAGTAGGACTAGATCATCTTAGCTTTCTTTACATTTTTAGAAACAGAGAAGCATCCTGTGAGACCACTGACCAAATCTCATCTTCAAAACAGCAAAACCATATAGAAAAACTGAGATATAACAGCAGCCTCTGATAAAAGTATAATCTAATAAGGAGCCCAAGCCCATCAAAATAGATACTTCTCCAAAAGTCCTCCTCTTTAACCTTCTCATTTGTTAGATACAGATAAGTGATTGAGAGATGGAAAATGGGTTGCCAGAAATGACAGGTCAATCTAATAAAAGAAGTGGGAATAAACCCAGGACAGGTAACTCCCAAATGAGACAATTTTTCTTATATTTTTCTAGTCTTCCAGACTGGGTTATAATTGGTGATTCCTAAAATAAATTCTGATGGGCTATATTTGGGCTAAATATTTTTTTATGAATTTGAGTAACTCTTTAGGCTTGGTAAAGACCAACTTTAAGGTTCTAAATGATAGAGGGGTCTCTATTTTTTTTTTTATCACTCACTCAACATTTGTGCATACCAGGCTATGGCAAAATAAATTAGTTGGTTGACGTCAGAAGAACATGAGTCACCGGTTTTGCCCGCAATAAATCTAATTGCTGGCACAAAGTAGATCAAATGCAAAGTGACAGCTGAGATTGGAGCATGCTGGCCTCCCTCCATCCCGGGTTCTCTAGTACCATGCCTTTGCTGGTAGAAAATGTTACATGTTCTTTACAATGATAGTCCAGGGTTTTAAAGTAATTGTGATCTCTCAGCGCTGCTGGTGGTAAAAAAGGGGCCACAAGTGGACAACGTTTGAGCAGTGCCAATGACCAGAAGGTGAAGGCAGCAGGTGCATGTTAGTCACAGCACTGGCCCTGACTCTGTGCGCAAAGTTTGACATGCCACACACCACTGTGGGTTCCATTTTTCCCTTCTGAAAATTGCAGGGGCTTGATCTAGGACTCTGTAGGATTCCTTTGACCTCTAGGATTCACTAAGTCCAAGAATGTGTCGATTCTTTCTTTCCGTAGTGTCATTCTGTGGATTTTCAGTTGAGCAACAGTTCAAGAACTTCTCGGCTAACAGTTTTGACATCATCAGGTGAAGGTCATTTGGGGACAGAAAAGTGTTCCAGTCCACTTCCAGAGCCAAAGTTGGGAGGCGGAGGAAAAGAGAATTGTAAGTTGCAGCCTGGTCTGAGCCATTTAGTGACATAGCGAGACCCTGTCCTCAAAAACACATACAAAACGGCCAGTGCCCAAAGCCTGCCTGGCAAGCACAAAGTCCTGAGTTTGAGTCCCAGTACCAAAAAACAAAACAAAACAAGTACAAAGGGAAAGAGATTTATTTCAGTTCAAAGGTCCTCTATTCAATCCCCGTACTGCAGAAATAAACATTAAAAAACTGCAAAAGGAAGTATGCATAATCTTAGCTCTACACATAAGTAATTTTTGAACAAATTCTATCAATTCTCTGACTGCATCTCTAAAGCTTTCTCTGCAAAATACAAGTAATAACACCTATTTCACATTCATCTTCTGGGTCAAAAGAGATTTTGGCTGTGACAGAGCTTTGTCATTGGGAAATTATCAGCAGCTACATGGAAGAGGATGAGGATGATGTGCCTGTGAGGAGTTGAGGATACTTCCTGGTTTCCCATGAAGATACAAAGATCACTTCATTCCAGGTCAACAGGTAAGTCAAGGGTGAGGAGGGAGATACTCTATCTGATCTGCTCTGCACTCCCAACCTAAGGACCAGAGGCTCCTACAATAATCCTCTGCTTAGTACCATCAGCCCTCTGTCCTCCCAATCCAGTAGAAAGGTCACTAGTCTTATGTCTTATGCTGTTTTTCTCCCAACCCCTATGACTAAAGACCCAGTGAGGGGTACTAAACCAATACCCCGGTACAGATTGTGCCCTCACGTCTTTAGCTTTCCAGATTGTGTAAAGGAAAGAGTAGAGAAGGTCTTCCTGTCCCTACACCTCCTTTGCTTTGCACAGGCTCCCCTTGAGGCTATTAAGGCTCCTGACTGTTCCATCTCCCAGGGTGGTCCTAGCCCCTTGGTGCTTTTCTGATGACAAAGAATGACACTATCCTATAGGAGTGGAATGCTGAGTACAAACATGGATTTTCACATGAATTCACAGGCTTAAAGAGCCGTGGAGGTTGTCAGGAACTTCACCAAGTTCCATGCCTTATTTTTTTTATAGGTACAGGAACTGAGTTTTAAGGAAGAGAAGCAAATGGTAGTATCATTTAGATAAAGGGACAGAAAGATGTTTAACGAATGTTGAAATTCTTTTTGGGCAGATGAGGAAACTGAGGCTCAAAACTAATACTAAAGTTTATGACTTCTGATTCCAAGTTTGGTTCTCATTTCATGAGAACATATAAAATGTACACAATGTGGAAACCATGCATGTGAAAACCCAGGTTCCAAAGATAGGTAAAAGAATTGGTTATTACAGTAATGTGAATTTGGGCAAATAGATTTCTCTGTCCACATTTTGGAACCCCTATTTGATTGTGTCAGAGTCTTACCATATATTTCTTGGTCAATGAAGTTTATAAATCTGTGGTAAAGATACAGGCTATATGGGTACAGATACAGGATATATGTGTACAGGAATATAATAACTACTAGACTTATTTTCCTTCCATCTCTGAAGCTCAAAGGCATCTTCTTGAAGTCAATTCTTTGTTATGGAAAGCAGTGTATCTGTGATGGTCCAAAGTTAGCCTACAGTGGGTGAAGGTTCGGCCTGGAAATAGAAGGGTCTATGCATTCTTGGCACTAGACTGAAGCAGAAGCCAGCTTTCAGGAGAGGCCAGAGATGAGCTTACATGTGTTTAACAAGCAGCTATCAGGCAGGAAGCCTTCAATGGTTGTTTGTCAATATCCTGGGTAAAATACTTCCACCATGGCCAATCACAAGCTGCCAAGGTAACATTACTGACTATCCAATTTGGAAGGGATGCACAATACCATAAATTATTTCTAATGCAACTGTAAGAAAGATAAATAACATCAAGAGTGCATTTGGTGATAAAACATCAAAAGAGTAATAAGTGGTATTATCATTTTTCAAATAATTTATAATATGTTTATATGATTTAAATTTAATAATGCTTTCCAAAAATTTGGCAAATTTTCTGAAATTTAACAACCAGTTTTTATAAACTGGAGCAAATCAACTCCTAGCACACACTTCAGCAGATAGACCTAAGTTTGAATCCCAGCCTATTGTTCTGTTAGCTGTGTGACACTGAATGAACTTTCAGTCTCAGTGTTTTCAGCTGTTGAAGGAGATAACAATGATAATAACCTCAAGGGTTTATTGGTGAAATTAAGAGATACTATGCATCACATAGTAATAAACTCTCAGTAAATTAGTATCGGTATATTTTCAAGCCAAATTCATTTACTCAGTAAACATTTTGCAAGAAATGCATTTCACAGCTGACTCCTGCTGTACAAAATACTTTGAACATTACTTTTACCCCTCCCTCAAAGCTGTCATGGTCTATCAGAATGGAATACAAGATACAGACCACAAAAAATAATCCAGAGCAAACTATGATCAGCTCATGAGCAGCACAGAGTTTGTGGAGGGTGGGGAAGGAGGAAGGAAAGATTAATGGAGTGATTGCACTAAATCTTATATTTTGTAATAGACTTGAATGAGCAGAGAGGGCCAGAAAAAAGGTGTCCCAAGAAGAGAGAATAAAGCCAATGCCAAAGGAACATGGAAGACAGGAAGATACAAAATTTGCTAGAACAAAGAATATGAAAAGGGTACCAAGGAGACTGTTGGCTAGGCAGCAGCTTCTGAGTGGTGTTAGTCTTGAGTGTGTTGAAAAGTTTAGC